CGCCCCCCGCCCCCCACCCCACCCCTTCCCCTCTCACTGTTGAGGCGGAAGACGTAGGTGCCTGCGCCCACCATGTCGTCGTAGCATCGCGCCTCCCGCAGGTCCGACACGCTGGGCCTCACCAGCTCTCCCACATACTCGATGACCATGTCGTCTGCGGGGAGGGAAGGAGGGGAGGGAGGAAAGAAAGGAGGGCGGTTGGATAGGAGGGAGGGAGGGAGGGAGGGAGGAGCGGGGGTGAGAGGGCAGAGGCTGGTGGTTGGTGTGTGGCGGTGGTGGTGTGTGGTGAGGGGGTCGAGGCGAGGCGAGGCTGGTTGGTGGGGGCCGGGGTGGGATGAGAGGTGAGGCGGGGTTAGGTGGAGGAAGGAACGAGCTGCGTGCGGCTGCGGCCGGCCAGCCCGCGGGCGGCCCCGCCCAGCGCGGCAGCAGCAGCGGCGGCAGCAGCGGCGGCAGGGCCCGGCCCCGGCGCGCGCGGCTCACGTTCCGCGTGCCGCCGCTTGGCAAAGGCGCCCCAGCCGTGGATGCCGCTCTTGCCGATGGTCACGCGCTGGCCCAGTGTGGCCACACACTCTGCGTACCGCGCCGCCTCAGACTTGACGCTCCTGCTGGGGGAGGCCAGCAGGCGCGCCTGCCCCGCCGCGGGGCTGCCGGGGACCCCCTCCTGCCGCGGCTCCCCGCCCAGCCAGGGCGGCGCAGGGCGGCGCGCGGCGGCCGCCGCCGGCTGCCGCTGCTGCGGCTGCGGCTGGGCGTCGCCGGGCGGCTGCGCGGCGGCCTGCGCGGCAGCCTGCTCCCGCCGCTGCCGCTGCCGCTGCTGCTGGGCGGCGTAGCCCGCCTGCGCAGCCCGGCTGGCCACCAGAAGCTCCACGCCCGGCTGCCCCTGCCCCTCCTCCTCCTCCTCCTCCCCCTCCTCTGAGCCATAGTCCACGTATCGCCCCCTCGCGTCGCAGCTGTAGCAAGCAGACAGCGGCAGGTCGTGCACCCGCTTCCCGAGCGGCCCTCCCACCAGGTACGGCACGCTGAGCACGGCTCCGCGCTTTGCCTCCGCCGCCGCCGCCGCCTCGGGCGCGCGCTGCCCGCGGCGGGCCAGCTGGTTAAAGGGGCGGGCGCGGGCGGCGCCCGGCGCGCGCGGCGGCGGCGCCGCGGCCGCCGCCGCCGCCGCCTGCTGCTGCTGCTCGTTGCAGGCTGACACGGCGGCGGAGGTGCCGCCGGGCGAGGCGGCGGCGCCCGGGGTCTGCTGCCTCGATGCCTGTTGCTGCTGCTGCTGCTGCTGCTGCTGCTGCTGGGCCTCAATGGGCTCGTCGCCACTGGAGGATGGGCGCAGCAGGCCGCAGGCGGCCGCCGAGCCGCCGCCGCCGCCTGCGGCGGCCGCCGCCGCCGCCGCCGCCGAGGACTGCTGGTGGCCCAGCGGCGCCGGCGGCTCGCGCCGCGTGCCGTGGCGGGGGCAGTAAGCCATGAGGCGGATGCGGCCCACAAGCGTGCCCTCCTGCCGCTTCTGGCGCCGCTTGGGCTTGGCGCCGCCGCCGGCGCTGGCGCCGCCGCCGTGCAGGCTGTCGCCTGCGGGGGGCAGAGGCAGAGGCCGCGAAGGGGTTCCGTTTTGCTGAGGATGCAGGAGCCAGCGGGAAGCGGGGAGCACAGGGGGAGCGGCGAGGCGGCGGCAGGCAGCAGCGGCCCCAGGCACGGGCCGCGCCTCACCTCTGGCGCTGCCATTGGGAGCCGCCGCGTCGTTCTCATCGCAGCTGCCCTCTGGAGCCCCAAACTGCCCCTGTCCCTGCCCCTGCTGCTGCCGAGGCTGCTGCTGCTGAGGCTGCTGCTGCGCCGGCGCCGGCGCCAGCGCCAGCGGCTGAGCTGGCGCCAGCTGGCCCGCCAGCTGGCCCGCGTGCTGCGCCTCTGCCCCCTCCACCTCATCGCTCTCATCCTCAGACTCGCAGTCAGACTCCTGGCGCATCTGCAGGGGGGCGGCGGCCAGCCAGGGAGCAGCGGCTATCAGCTGAAGGTGCCAGCAGCCAGCTCGCGGCAGCAAGGAAGCAGCAGCAGCCGCTGATGCAAGGTCTGAAGAGGATGAATGAAACTGATAGCTGGCCACACACACACGCGCGAACGCGTGGTCACGCGCAAGGCAGCTGCACGGCAGCTGCTGCACACCCACCTCCATCTGGTATCCCGCCTGCCGGGCGCACAGCGGGTGGAACCCGGCGTAGCAGCGCGTCTCGCAGCACTGCATGCACGCGCCGTGCTGCTGCCTGCACAGCTGGCAAGTCAGCTGGAAGCGGGAGCGGTGGACCTGCGGGAGGGGCGGGCGGCGCGGAGCGGCGGGGAGGGGGCTGCAAGTTGCGGGCAAGCAGCGGGCGTGGCCTGCCCTGGGCAGGTTGCAACCGACACCTGCTGCTGCCGACGTGGCACCTGGCTCCTTGCCACCTGACGCACGCAACCACACACACGCGCGGACGCCCACCTTCTGCACGCCCTGCACCAGGCCGTGCAGCAGGTGGTGGCTGGCGGTGGCATCCAGGCTCGTCTCCGGCAGCCACAGCGCGCAGGTGGGGTGCGCCCAGCGCCCGCATGTGGTGCGCTTCAGCGCGCCGCCGAGGACTGCACAGCCGGGGGCGAGAGGGCAAACAGGCCAACGCAAAGCAAGGCGCATTGTCTCAATCAAATAGGAAGCAAAGCTTGCAAGCCGGATGGGAGATTGGGCCAGTGGTGACAGAAACAGCGACAGCCAGCCGGCCAGGATGCAGGCGTGCCTGGCGCGAGCACCTGGGCACAGCGCGCAGGGCGGCGGCTTCTCCAGGCTCAGGCTGCACACGTCGCAGAGCCAGAGCTTGCCGTGGGGCGCCTGCCGGATGCCGTAGCAGCACATGTGCACAAACAGCTTGCACTTGCCACACTGCGGGAGGGCAGGAGGTGCCGGCGGCGCAGGCAGCGGCGCTCAGCACGGCAGGGCCAGACCAGGGAGGAGCAGGAGCACGCACAAACACGGCCCCGCTGCCTGAGCCACGCCCCTACATAAATATATGTATATACAATGTGTGTCCGCCCCACCAACCTGCACAATGAAGTCCTCCTCGTCCTCGTCCTCCTCATTGCACACGTGGCACACGCCTGCCGCGCTGCACCAGGGAAGCGCGGGACCGCCGCCACCAGCCCACATTGTGTGAGGCAGCAGCAGCTTGAGTGGGGTCTGCCCACAGTCCCCAGGGCATTGCGCTGATGATGGGTGGGGCAGGGCAGGCGTCGCGCTGCATGCGCCCCGCCTGGCCTCACGTGTGCTCCACGGCGACGCCGCGCACGCCGTCGGGCAGGCGCTGCATGCGCGCCTCGCATGCCAGCCGCTCCCGCTGCTCCGCGGCGCTCTGCACGGCGCGACGCAGGCAGAAACTGCAAGGCGTGAGCGGCGCCGCATGCGGCGTGTGCAGGCTGGGCCCACACACAGCCAGGCACTCTTGCCCGGCGATGCCCACGGTTCCTGAGCCTGCCGGCAGCCCGGCCGCCGCCTGCGGGCGGCTACTCACCAGCGGCGGCACGTCTGGCTGCGCGCCCTCCGGCCAGCCGCAGTAGCGGTCGCAGCGGTTGGCGCCTGGCAGCCCCTCGATCGCCCGCTGCACTCGCTCCACCGACAGCCCAAACATCATGGGCCCTGCAGGGCGGCAGCAGGGTGGCAGCAGCCGCAAGCGCACGCTGCTAGGAGGACGCGGGAGACGCGCGAGTGCCCCGCAGGCTCCCTTCAGCATCAGGCTTCCTTCACCACATAGGCGGGCCGCCCCGTGCCGCCTGCACGCTGCGACCACCCCGGCGGCGCGGCGGCGGCGACGCGTCCAGCCAGCACCGTTGCGTGCCACCCACCTGACAGCCCCAGGCTGCGAGCCTGGCCCGACGCGTCGCAGGCGTAGAGCGCCTGCCACGCCTTGGAGGCTGTGGGCCCTTCCACCGCCGGCCGCCCCTGCGGCGTCACCCTGAACAGCGGGCCTGAGCCGTCTGCAGCCCGCACAATCTCCAGCAGGTGAGGCACGCTCTCCCGACCGGAGGCCGGCGTCTCTGCAGGCGCGTGCAGCAGGGCGGCAGGGTCAGGGCATCAGCCGGCCGCGGGCGGCGCCGCTCGCCGCGCCCACCCAGCCGTGGCGCGCTGCTCCCGACGCCCGGCGGCGCTGGCATGTGGGCTGACACCCGCAGCCTGCCTGCCGCGGGCGCCGCAGCGCCGCCCCACGCTCACCCCACCACCCCAACCCCACCCCAACCACATCACACATGCTCACTTGTGACGCGCTGCGCCTTGAATCCCACGGGAAAGATGTACTTTTCGTTGTGGAAAGCGGGGTGCAGCCACTCCACCTGCCCCAGCTCCAGCACTGCGCGGTGGGGGCAGGCCAGCCAGCCAGCCAGGGGGCACGCAAATGAAGCTGGGAAGTAGGCGCCTGCGGCGCCAACCGCCATGGCGACAAACACGGCAGGGCAGGGGGCGGGCAGCAGCAGCGGCGGCGAGCCAGCCGGCTGGCAGCAGCGCAGCGCCGACGCGCGCACCACTGGCGGCACCGCGCAGGCAGCAGCCCAGAGGCAGACGCAGCTGCGGCTCACGGGTCAGCTGCTGGTTGATCTGCATCGGCAGCCCGCCAGCATGCACCTCCTCTGGCGCCGTCGCGGCCTTGCTGCCTTTGGCCTTGTGCCGCTTGGGGGCCGGCTTGGCCACCTCCACCTCATCCTCATCCTCAAAGCCTAGCCCGTCGTTGTGCCGCGGCACCATGCACGGCGGCAGCTCCCCTTCCTGTGGTAGCGGCAGTGGTGGCAGCAAGCTTACCGCGAGTGCATGCGCAAGCCATATGCGCTTTGTGCAGCAGTGCTGTGTGCTGCCGTGCTGCGGGGGGCTGACAGTGTCCCGGCGCATGCTGCTGGGGCAGGAGGTACACACGGCCGCGCCAGCAGGCGGTACCTTGAAGTATCCCAGCACCTCGCAGAACGACTTCCGCAGCTCATTCATCTTGCGGCCCCTGCATGCAGTGCTTGGCACAGGCTGTGACGGCCCCCCGGCCAGCAGGCGCCAGCAAGCCCAGGCGCAGACGCGGCAGGGCTGCGGCAGGCAGGTAGGGCTGCGGTAGGCAGGCAGGAGGGCAGCACCAGTGCCTGCTGCCAGCTCCCAGCCTCACTTGGTGGGTGCGTGGTAGCCCAGCTCCAAGCCCTCCAGGAAGGAGGCAAACAGGCGCTTTGGGTTCCTCCTGCTGCTGGTGCGGTCCACTGCAGGCAACAGGGAGGCGGGAGGTGTCTGCAGAAGGCTGCCACCGGGGCTGCGCACGAGCCACGCCCTGCCAGCCCAGCTGGCCCCGCAGGCGAGCCCTGCTGCCCCGCTGTTAGTGAAGTCCCAGGCTGTGCCCCTGCCCGTGCCGCCGCACCTCCGTTGGGGTTGAATGCCATCACCTCTCCGCTGCCAAAGAACTGGACCGCCAGGTAGGCGGCGTTCTTAAAGTGGCTCCCTGCGCAGCACAACCACAGCAGGCGGGGCGGTGCGGTGTGCAGCAGTGTGCAGGGCAGGCCGCGCAGCGAGGCGGGGGCTGCCCATACGTGCAGGGAGCAGCTGGGAGGCAGGCGACGGCCTTGCCCTGGCAGCCGTCGCTGCCAGCGGGCGGCGGCATCGGGGGTGGCGAGGTGCGGCGTGGCGTACCCGGCACGCCCCTGCTGATGGCTTCCTCTCGGGTGATGGTCATGAAGGGCCAGTGCAGGAAGCCAGCCGCCTTGTACCAGCCCACCTCTCCAGGCTGCAGCACCTGCTCCGCCTCGCTGGCAGGGCCGCCCCCCGCCCCGCGCCGCGCGCCTGCCTGCCCCTGGAGGCCGGCCGGCGGCTGCAGCCCACCGTGCTGCTGCTGCTGCTGCTGCTGCGGTGCTTCGACAAGCATGGTGAAGCCAAGAGCGCCTGCCCCTGGTGCTGCCAGGGCAGAGGTGGGCTGGGCTGGGTCGGCGCTCTGCTGAGGCATGCTGGGCTGCTCTTGCTGCTCCTCCTTCACCCGCGGCGCCACACCCAGCTGCCCCTGCTGTCCAGCCTCCTCCTTCACCGGCCCTGCGTCGCGCTGCTGCTGCTGGTGCTGCGGGCGCGCTTGCGGGCGCGGCGCCTCGCTGCCGGCCGCCCGCCTCTCCTCCTCCCGCCGCCGCTCCGCCTGCTGCTGCTCCGGCGAAGCGGCCAGCACCGCCGCCTGCTCCACCACCTCCCGCTGCTTGCCCAGCTCCCGCAGCTCGGCGGCGCGCTGGCGGAGCCGTACCGCCTGCTTGCGGTACTGCGGCGTGGCAGCCAGCTCCAGCAGCTTGCCTGCGTAGAGGCAGAGCGGCCCCGCGGCGGGCGGCGGCAGCCGCTCCCCAGGGTGCATCAGCAGCCGCACTCGCTCCAGCGCCAGCACCAACACCTCGCTCTGGCCGTCGGCATACAGGATCTGTGCATCACGGCAGGTCACGGGCAGGCCACAGGTGGGACCAGGGCAGGCAAACGCCAGCATGGGCAGGGACTGACTGGCGCCGGGTGCACGTGTGTTCCTTTTCTTAACAAAAAATGGAAACAAAGGGTGCACGGAGGGAGCGCGGCAATGCAACACGCCCGCCGGTGCGGCCTCTCAGCCCCCGCCCTCCCACCTGGTGCTCCCCCGTCTTGCGGAAGTAGTCCTGCACGGTGCCAAGGTACCAGGCATCGTCGTCGGGCCAGTAGATGCGCAGCTGGCGGCCCACCACGGCGGCCGCCGCCAGCCGCGCCGCCACGTCCAGCTCGAGCACCAGCTGGCGGCCGCCCGCGTCGCGCTGCTCCTGGAACAGCGCGTGAGCCTCCACCAGCTGCGAGCGGAGCGCCGCGGCCTCCGCGCGCTGCTGGGACTCCGCGTGCTGCCTGGCCAGCTGAGCGTGCGCCTGTTGCTGCACGTCTGGGGCGGAGGCGGCGGCACCTGCCGCTGCCAGGTTGCCCGGCTGGGCGCCCGCTTCTAGCTGCTCGACAGGCGCATGGGCCTGCAAATCAACCCGCCTGGCGCGCTTGCTGCCCTCCCTGTGCTCTTGAAAAGCAGGCCGCTTGCGCAGGGCGGGGGCCGGCTGCCCAAGGCCCTCGGCCGCTGCCGAGGGCTCCGTGTCGCTCATCCTGTGCCGCAGGGGAGCAGCGGGACCTGCTCGTTTGTTTTGAGCGTTTCAAGGACTCCCACTCAAGGCTGCCCCTCGCTAGCCCGCCATCACGCACAGAGGCAGACCCCAGGCGAAACAGCGCAGCAATAAATGTCGATGGCGGCCTGTTTGCTTCAGGCAGAGAAAACCAACACGCTGAGCTGGCTGTTTTTCTTTGTTTTTCTTTCACCCGGCTGATCGAGACCTTTCAATGCAGGAACAAACAATTTGACAATAGATGGAGCTTTCACACAGTTAATGGCCGTCTTGGACACCAGGGTTGGTTGCCGCGGAGGGCGCGGGCGCCCAACACAAGGCGGCGTTTTCGCCCAGGCGTATTTGATCGGTGAAATGTGATGGATGCAATGCAGCAGCAGGGAGGGCTGAAGGTGCCCCGAGCAAGTTCAAACGAGCCAATGGTCCTCCAGGTATCGCGGAGAGCTTGCGGTGCGGCCTGAAAAGGTTGCAGCATGTCAGTTGGTTCATAACAACACTCAATGGGAGCGATTGCCTCGCAGGCGCCATCTGCGTCTCGCGCAGCGCAGCAGCAGCCAAAAACAACAAGGCACCCGTTTGCCTCCCGTCTTGCACGCATCGTCTTGCGTCCTCTTCCATCCGCGCTACTCCTCGCATTCAGTCTGTTTGGTCCTTGTTCCACCCTCCCGGACCTGTCCCTTGCGCGCTGTGGCAGCCCTCGGCAGCGTTTGCAGCGCCTCTTCTTGCGGCCCCAGAGGTGGGAGGCACCGGGGGCCTTGCGGACGGTAGTGGCAGTTGTGGAGGGGCGGCGCAGGAGCATACGCGGCCCGCGCCCGGTTCTCAGCGCTGCCACGCCTCCTCGCCTGTGCAGGCCCCCCTTGCCACAGAGGATCCGGCAATGGGGAAGCCCGCGGCCCGGTGGGCCGTGGTGCTGGTGCTGGCGACGCTGCTCCGCCCCGCGGCCGCCCGTGCCTTCCGCATGCCATACGACCAGCTGCAGCAGCAGTCATGTAGAAGCCTGGAGGTGCGCCCTGCTGCTGCATGGGCCATGTCATGTGTCCCAGCTCCCGCGCAGGGCTGTGCCCTCTGCGACGTGCCCTCTGCGACGTGCCCTCTGCGACGTGCCCCCTGCCCCCCGCCCTGTTCACACCGCCGCTCGTCAAGCCAGCTGCCTGCCCGCCTCAGAACGCTCCCTTGTGCCTCAGCCAGATCTGGCCAGCTGCTACCGTGCGGCACACGCCGCAGCTGTTCAGCCGCCCCGCCGCCCGCTGTGCACAAAACGCTGCTGCGTCGTGCCTGCGCCTGGCGACCCCCCGCCCCTCCCCGCAGCCCGCCCCCGGCACGCCGTTTGAGGCGACCATCAACCGCCGCCCAGACCTGCTGCCTGCGGAGGATCTGTCGGAGGTGCTGACACTGCGGTACAAGGAGTCTGCCTTCCTGGTTTCCAAGGGAGAGAAGCACACCCTGGGCAGCTACGCCGCCGCGCAGTCCACCGCCACCCTGCACGTGCGTGGGCCCGCGCAGCGTGCAGGGCACCCACGCCTGCCGCCGCCTTGCTGCCGGCTGCGCCACGCCGGCCAGCAGCAGCCGCCGCTTGTGAGGCGAGGGGTGTGGAGCTGGGCTGCTGGCCAGCGGTTGAAACCAGCGGGCAGGGCCGGAGGCGTCGGGCGGGCGTCTTGCGCCTCACCTCGCTGCCGGCTGCACCCCGGCCGCGCTGCAGGTGTTTGATGGCGGCGACGTGGCAGACTACCGCAACGGCAAGCCGCAGTTCTACAAGGCCATGGTCATGTGAGCCCCGGCCGCTCGCCCGCCGCCGCCTGCCGCCTGCCTGCCCGCGCTCTGCCTGCCCTGTGCCTCTCTGCCCCGACGTGCCGCCGCCTGCGGGGCCTCCCCCGCCTTTGATTGTGAGAAGGAGCGACAGTTTCCTTTTGGCTCACCGTTCTTTCCCCCTTTCTTCCTGCAGGCTGAAGTGCGGGGAGGGGTCTGAGGGGGATGAGCTGGTCAGCGTGTCCAGCAGCTTAGAGGATGAGTACAAGCACACCTACGTCTTCAACATCCGCACCAGCCGTGTGTGGTGAGCACGCACGCAACGCAGGCCTCCGCGGCAGCAGCGCGTGGCGTGGCACGCGCGGCGCGGCCTGCCGCCGTTGGGGCCGGTCTGCGCTGCAGCCGCCGCCGTTGGCGTTTGTTTGGGCTTGGGCCCAGATGCGGCTGTGGGGCCGCTGCGGCTGCGCCGACGTGCCCCGCTGCCTGCCTGCCTGCCTGCCTGCCTGTGTGCGCAGCCCGGACCAGCCGCCGTGCCCGGTGGATGTGGATGTGGAGCCGATCCCTGAGGGCGATTACGTCATCTACAAGCCCTCCCTGCAGCGGCTGAGGTGCCCAGGAAGTGAGTGCAGGCCTCGCAGCGCTGCCGCTGGCCGCCGCCGCAGCTGCGCCGGTGCCGGGAGCCCAGCTCTCCGCGCTGCCTGGCTCTGTCCACTCGCCTGGAGCTGCCCGCGGGGCCTGGCAGGGCTGGGAGCTGCTCGGTGTGTGGCTGCGGGCGCTTACGGCATCGCGGCGTGCGGGCTGCCTGCCCTCCCCTTCCCCCTCCCTCCCCGCAGCCTACCTGAGCGCGCAGTACTGCGGCGGGCACAAGGGGCTGGAGCTGGCGCCCGTGGGCGCCGCCACCACAGACCTGCAGCGCTGGGCCTTCTCCGCCGCGGCGCCCGGGGGCGCGGGGCGCAACCTGCTGTCGCAGCCGATTGCGATACAGAGCCTGGGGCGGGTGGGCGGGCGCTGCGCCAGCTACCTGGGCCTCACCTCGGCGGCGCCGGGCTGCGCGGAAGGGACGGGCCTCAACCTGGCTGATAGCTCCACAGCCTGGCTGGTGGAGTCAGGGCCCCCGGTGCCGCCCGGCTCCCTGCCCAACCGATACTACATCCGCGCGCAGGCAAGCGCGCCCTCGCGCCGCCACGCCTGCCACCGCGTCGGGCGTGCCGTGCTGTGGGGGCACATGTGCAGGTTCGCCCGCTGCGTTACGACCGCCGCCGCCGTGCCGCCGCGCTGCGTGCAGGCCCTGGCCGCCGCCGGCTGCCCCAGGTCGTACCTGTGCCTCAGCGAGAGCTGCGAGGAGACCTCGTGGCAGCTGTGCGAGCGCAATGAGGAGGGCTTCATCTCCTGGTGGCACATCCGCCCAGCGGACACCTCCGCCGTCGCCCGCCAGCGCCTCTGACGGTGGCTGGCAGAGGGTGCGCGGCGCCCGACCCCTCGCCTTTGTCTGCCTGACCCCCCCTGTCCCCTCCTGAACCCAAATGCTGCTGGTGGCAAGGTTTTCCCCCGCTTGCCCCATGCCCTCCCGCACCTCTTCCCCTGCACAGCCTGCACTGCCCCCATTGTTAAGGTGTGCCTCGTACGCGCCAGGCAGCCTTCGTGACCCCGATGCGACACCCCAATTGCCTGACCTGAATTTGTGGCCGACCCCAACATTCCCTGCACCCGCCGTCTGGCACTGTTTCGTTTGTCGCCCGCATGATCTCTGCATCATGCGGCGACCCTCCCCCTCTCTCCCTCATTCATGTGCGACACGCACCCACACCCCGCATTTGCTTCTTGTTTACTGCACAGAAGCAGCCATTCTTTCGTACATCCTGCTCCCCTGGGTTCCCAGCGGCGTACCGCCTTTGGTGTGCTTCTGGCTCGTCCATTGACGCTCTGTAAGACCGCCGTCCTGCTTCGTTGAGGTTGCAGCAGGTTGAGGAGAGCAGCAGTGGTTGCAGTGTCACGTCCCCCCTGCATGGATGGAACCTTCCACCAGCGGCCCCAGCTTGCCTCGCCGCCCCTTCTTTTCCGCCGCCCCGTCACCGCCGCCGGCCAATAGTGCATCTCCTCTCAGGTCGCCGCTGCCTGACATTCTCCCGCCTCCTCCTGCTGCTTCTCTCCAAGGAGTGGGGCAGTGGTGAAAGCGCTCAGGGCCTTTCGGGTCGAGCGAGATGCTCGTTGCCCACGCCACCTTGCTGCGCACTGCGCCGCTTGCAGCAGCAGCAGCAGCAGCTCGATTGACAGGCGCCGGCTACAGGTCGTTCTCTGCTGCCGCCGACCCGCCGCCGCTGCCGCCGCCGCCACCGCCTAGCGGCGAGGCGAGCGAGGAGCGAGCTGCCAGCCTGCCACCAGGTGGGCGCCTCTCCTTTCATTTCTTGCCCCCCACTCATGACTATCACAGGCTCTCCCAAGTGACGCCGGCTGCCCCGGTGGCATGTGCTGCACTGCAGAGCAGCTGGCCAAGGCGCTCCTGGCGGGCAACTGCAAGGCGCAGCTGACGACGGTGGTGGCGGGGCTGACCGGCAGCGACGAGAACAAAGTGACCAGCAGCGTGGCATCGTACCTGGCGCCTCGAGGTGGGCGCCGCGGCACACTGCAGCATGTGGCAGGCGGGTGGAACCCCCGGCTGCCCGCCTGCCGGGCGAGGCGCAGTCGTGTAAGAGGGGCCATCCCTGCCGTGCAGGCGAGGCGCCCGTGGTGCTGCTCAGCAAGCAGGACAGCGAGCACCTGATCAACCTGGGGGAGAGCGCAAAGGTGGGCAGCCTGCCCGGCTGGTGCCTGCTGGGGGGGTGCCCTGTCGGTTCTGCCGCCAGAACTGAAACCGAGGCTGCAGCAGGGGCACCGGCCTTGCTGACTGCGCTGCGCTGCGACGGGCTGTGCCTGCCCTGCCCCGCCCCCCGCAGGCCTCCCTGGCCACCGGCCACATCAGCCCGCCCTGGTTTGTGCAGCGCCTGCGCGCCACCGGCTGGCTGCCGCGCCGCGTGGCGCTGCTGGGCTCCCTGCAGCCGCTGCCGGCCGCCGAGGTGCGCTTCGCCTGCGAGCAGGCCCGCAAGGCCTGCCGGGGCGCGCCCGCCCTGGCCGCGCTGCTGCCGCCAGAGGCGCGGCTGCCGGAGCTGGCAGGCTTCCGCCTGTCCTCCATCTCGCGGTGCGTGTATGTGGATGCGGCGGGGCGGCAGCACGCGGTGGCTCCAGACGACCTGGACGGCGCGCTGGTGGACCCGCTGGCGCTGAGTCAGCACGACCTGCTGGCCGCCGTCAACGACACGCCCGAGTGGCAGCTGCAGCTGCAGCTGTTTGCCGCCGCGTGCCTGGGGGTGGGCACACGTGAGGTGCTGCTGGCGGAGGCAGACAGGCTGGGCTTCACGCTGCTGGGGCGCCCCCTGGAGGCGGCGGCGGCGCAGGGAGAGGCTGGGGCAGGGGCAGCCGCTGGGGCGGACGCTGGGGCGGCGGCTGCAGGAGGCGCCCCGGAGGGCGGCCCCCAGCAGCAGCAGCAGCAGCAGCAGCAGCGCTGGCGGCAGTTCAGGATCGGCAGCGAACGGGAGCTGCGCGACGAAGAGGCCTTTATGGGCCTGCTGGAGCAGATGAAGGCAGAGGTGCAGGCAGCCGCTGGGAAGTAGGACGGCACCGGCAGGACAGGCCGCCTGGGCCGCCTGTTTCCCCGACTGTGCGCTGTGGCGCTGCCGTTGATGCATGCTGTTGATTGTCGTGTGTGAGAACCTGTGTGTGCTGCGCATGCGGATGGGAGAAGACAGGAGAGGGGGAGCTAAAAGGGAAGAGTACAAGAAAGGAAAAATGGGCAGTGCGGGAGAGCAACATGAAAGGGGGTCAGAGTATAGGTCTGTGCATCGGAGTCAGGTGGGCAAACATTCTGTTGCGGCGACTGGTGGACTTGTAAGCAGGCAGCACGCTAGGACAGTAACGGCAAAACAGGCTGCTGCTCAGCCTGCTCGACTGCTGGCTCTCGCGCCTGCTGCTGCTGCTGCTGCTCCTGCTCCTGCTGCTCCTGTTGTGGCTGGGGCACACCATCCGCGGGGGCAGCGCCTGCCGCCGCCCCCTCCGAAGCTGCAGCTTCTGCAGCAGCGGCCCCCGGGACGCCAGGCGCCAGCGCGAGGGCAGGCCCGCCCGCTGCCGGTGGCGGCTCCTCAGAGGGCCCCCGCGAGGCGGGTGCGCTGCCGCCTGCCGCCGCGCCGGCCGGCGTCTCCGCCCCCGACGGCGTCGGCGCCGCCTCCTCCGCCTTGCTCTGCAGCGCCGCCTCCAGCGCTGCGTTGGCTGCATCCAGGGTGTCGAAGAAGGCCTGGAAGAGCTCGCCGCCGACAGACACGATGGCCGACCAGGCCCCGCACTGTGCCAGCACCTTGTCCCCCTCCTGCGCCGCGCTGTTGGGCACCGCGCGGAACACGCCGTCCTTGCGCATTGGCAGGCTGCGGCAAGCGGTGGATGTGGGGGCAGCAAGGGTGAGATGCGTGGGCGGGGCAGGGCGGGGCAAACATGTGGGCAGGGCAGTGGATGACGGGAAATTTCAACCACGACAGGGCAGGCAGAAGCAGAAGGTTTGCTGGCATAGGTGGCGTGTGTGGGGCAGCCCTCGCCGCGCGCTGCCAGCCAGCCACAGCTGTGCTGCGCCTCCCCTGCTGCAGTCCACCCAGCCGCCTGCCCACCTGTATCCGCTCCAGTATGTGAACATGCTCTGGATCTGCAGGCAGGCAGCAGAGGGGAGAGGAGGGGGCGTGATGAGTGGGTGCAGGGAGGGAGCGGCGGCAGCCAGGCTGGCAAGGCGGGATGCAATGGTGGCTGCAGGGCAGGCGGCGGCCGCCGCCGCAGGCTGCCTAAAAGCTGAAGGTCACCCTCGGCGCTGAAGGTCGCCCTGTGCCCACCCCCCTGCACACACACGCAGCCACGCACCGCCTGCGCCGCCTGCTTCTGCCTGGCCCGCTTGTGCTTGGCGGAGTCGGCGCCGCCGCCGCGCGCGCGCGCCCGCTTCGCGCCCTTGCCCTCCCCCGGGCTGGCGTCGTCCTTGGAGCGGCGCACCGCGGGCTTGCGGCTGACGTCGTCCTTTGTGCCCTTGCGGCCGCAGATGGCGTAGGTGCCGTCTGGCAGCTTGGCAAAGACCAGCACATCGCCCGCCACCATCTTGTACTGCGCCTGTACTTCGATTGTGTTCTCCAGCAGGTACATCCTGCGCAGGTTGGGTGGGGAAAGCATGTGAGCAGGGGCCGCTGTGAGCAGGCTGGGCTGTGAGCAGAGCAGAGCACAGGTAAGGGCGGGTGGCCTCTCGCCAAGTGCTCCCTACTGTCCCCTCCCCACCTGCTCTGGTTGTTCACCCAGAAGCGGAAGCGGAAGCTGTGCTGGTTGCCCTCGGTGTCCGTCAGGCTCATCACCATGCCCTGCTGCTGCTCCAGAAAGGGGAAGTGCGCCTCCGCCTGGCTCTGCACACACCGAAGCAAGGGCGGCGGCGAAGCAGGATGAGGGGCCGCCGGGCAGCCTGCAGGCGGTGCACCTGCAGCGCCCAGGGCTCACCTTGGGGATCACCAGACGCCCCGTGCCGTTGACGTCACTGGATGTCAGCACCTGCGCGGTTGCACACGTGTTGGCCAACAGGGCGGCGGTGGGAGGAGCGGCGGCAACGGCGGCGCTCACGTGTGTGCTCTGATGGCTGCGCTCCCAGCCCGCGCCGCAATTGCGCTGTCTCCCGGCGTCTGGGCACTGCTTCTTGACGGTTTCACGGCCCGCAAGAGGCAGCGGACCGCTTTTGACTGCCGCTGGGAGCTCCAGCGCCCGCAACGCTCACCTTCTCGAACAGTATGGAGCCTCCCATGGCCTGCAGCGCCGCCCTGGCGCTCTCGTTCGTGTGCTTGGCCGCCCCCGCCATCTCCACCCCCTGCTGCGTGCCCTCCAGGGTGTTGCCGCACCCTCAAACAATGCCCAGGGCGGTGTGAAATATGGAGAGTGGGCTGCTGTGGACGAGAACGCTGCACATGGAGCAGCCGGTGGCATGGATGTTTCTGCATTGGCAACCGGATCGCTCGGCACAGGGCCTCTGAAGTGCAGCAACAAGCAACCGGCAAGCAGCAGGAGCTGCCTTTCAGCAAGTCTTTCTGCAAGCACTGAGCCTCTGCACCGGCCCTCCAGGGGCATCGCCAGCGCCCACCGCCATCCCCCTCTACCCACACTGTTTTCCGCGTCGGCAGCTGTCAACGACGCGGGACGAATACAGGGAGCCGGGATCAGCGATTGACTGCACCAGCACCAGCAAGGTCCACCGGCGGCGGTCGGCAGCATGTGGCACCCAGCGGCGGCACCGCTTCGCGCGGCTGGTTGCCAAGTCCGCTCTAAACAGCAATGTTCACACGCTGCTGCCCCGGCTGGGGAGGCGCATATGCGGCACTGTACACTGGCTGCCACGCCACGCAGCAGGAGACAGGTACCATGCGCCACCAGCAACGGTTCCGCAGGCAGGCCTTCAAATCAGCGGCCTGCAGACACTAGCTGGGTGCAGCAGCAGAATGCCTTGCCACCCGCAGCAGCGCAGGTACGGAAGAAAGGCTAGCTGGCACTGTGCCCCGAGCACACCCAATGACAAGCGAGGCAGTGAGTTGTTAGCGCCCTGTCTCCTTGTGTTGCAGTGGCAGCGGTTTGTGGGCTTTGTGCAGGCAGGGGATGCCAAGGAGGCGTGGCTGTCAGTGAGGTGAGGACCCAGGCAGTCATAAAGCTGCCTTGGTCTCTTCCTCTTCCCACCCCCTGCCGCTACCTCATCGCACTGTCGCTCGCCCCTACTCCTGCCCTGCCCCTGCAGCGCCACCACACTACAGGTGACGCTGCCGGCAGCTCTGCTGGCCCTGCTGCTGCATGACAGCCTGTGGGCCAGCCTGCCACCGCCTGCGATAGCAGCTGCAGAGGCGGCGGCATATGCCGGAGCGACGGTCGCAGCGGCCACAGAGGTGTGGAAAGTGCTGGAAGGGTTCCAAGGATAGGCGTTTTGTGTCAGACACTCGCTCTGCTTAGTTCTTTGTTTTACATGGGCGCAACACACAGAGCAGTACAACAGCTGGACTGCAGGAAGCATGCCGGTGGATTAAAGGCTCACCTGGAGGCCCTGGTCAGCATGTGCTGCACGTGTAACACTGATCCTTGGCTGTCCATGGCTCGGTCGCCATGCTGCTGAGCACTTCAGCCACCCCTTCAGCTGCAGTGATTGTCTCCGCGCTGGGTGCTTCACCACCTGCATCATCAGGCGTGATACAGGCCACTAAGCGATGCACCGCATATGTGGCGCCTGCGCTCTGCAGTCTCAGCAAGGGGGAGGGGAGACTTTTCGGCACGTATCTGTCCTGCATGAAACTTGTACATGCAAGTCAATGGATGCCCGGGGTGCAGGGGCAGCGCGAACGCCGCCCCGCACGCCACTCGCTCTAGGTGGATCCTTTCTTGCGGCACCCATGTCTTGGGATGCGGCAGCGCCTACCACCATATGCATACGTGGGTGCAGGGCAGGGTAGGGTGCAACGGCGGGCGGCGGCGGCAGCAGCCAGCGGCAGGCGTCGGCGGCAGGGCGGGGTGGCGGGCAGCCTGGCCATGGCTCTCCCGCTGCAAGCTCTGCCCCCTACCTCTCGGCTAGAGCCAGCTGGGTTTAGTTTGGTCGCTCAACACAACATCTGATGCCCCCCCCAAGTGATGCCTCGTCCTGCGTCTCAATTGGCAAGGTGAGGCTCACTTGGCCGCATGCAAATCGCCAGGAGAGGGCACGGCTGTGTCTAAGAACGCCACAAAGCGGGGCAGGAGTGCGTTGCGCAGTGCGCGCTCGACAGGAGTGTAGCGTGGTTGTCATTGATTTCCCATATGCTTGGAGCGAGGGGAGAGGACAGATCTCCCGCTGGTGTACCCCGCAGCACAGGTACCTGCATGGAAGTGCCCGGCAGACCTCACCTGTGGAACACTCACCAGGGTTTGAGCACTCCATCTGAGCCCAGGGTAGTCGATTCGGCCTGGTCACTGCCCCGATATTTTTCTCCGGCCGCTTGAGAACCGCGCATTTCGCGGCTGCCTCTTGCCCGCCCTCCTGCTGGCCAGGGCGCAGCCCCAGCCAAGGCACGCTTCCAGCGCTGTGACAGTGCGCTCGGCGCTGAGTTTGCGCAGCGGACAGCGGTGAGTGCTTCAGGCATGAGGGCATTGGCTGCCTCTGCAGGGCTGTGGTTCACGTGTGGAGCTCAGCGGAGTGCCGCTGCCCGCTCGGCTGCAGCGTGCCTGGGCCACACAACCCCGCCCGTCCCCCGCCACCTGCCCCCGCTCGCCCCTGCAGCCTGCGGCTACCCCTCCCGCTGGCTGACCGCCGGCAGGACCTGCAGCCATGGACATGAGAACGGCGCGCAAGGCGCTGATGGAGCAGAGGACGCTGTCCCTGCGGCGCTCAATGGGGTCTGGGGCGGCGACGGATGCGTCGCCGTCGGCGACCTTGACCGAAGACGACTTGGAGGCGAGCCTGCTGGAGCACCCGGAGCAGGAGGCGGCCGCGGTGGCAGAGGCGGCGGCGGCGGAGGCGCAGGGGGAGGGCAACGGCACCGCCGCCGCCGCGGCGCTGCGCAAAGCGCGCGACTCGCGCACGCTCTGGCGCGTCGCGCGCTCCAACCTGGGTGCGCCGCCTGCCGCGCGGCGCGGCCGCTGCCCTCTGCCGCGCCCGGTGCCGATCCCGTCGCCGGCATGGGCGGCGTGGTTGGAGCCTGCCGGCTGCCAGCTGCGCATGCTGCTCCTTCAGCCGCCAGCCGATGCAGCAGGCGCCTGCGGCTGCCACCAACGCGTGGCAACCTCCACACTCTGCCCGCCTGCGCCGCTGCATGCACCCGCTGCGGCCTGCCCGCCAAAGGCCCGCTGCGTTGCGCCCCGTCTGCATTCGCTCACCGCCGCGCTGCTGCCGCTGGGGGTGCAGGGCTGTCGGTTCGGGAGGACCCAGAGGGTGGCGCCGCACGCGTGGAGCGCACCCGCGTGGGCGCCGCCATGCAGCCCTCGCCCTCGCTGTCGCGCCAGCTGGGGGAGGCCGTCGGCGGGGGCAGCCAGGGCAACAACGCGGACACCATCGCAGACGCCTTTGTGCGCTTCCTCACAGGCGGCGGCCTGGGCACGGGGCTGGCCCTGCGCTCCAACAGCAGCCTGCTGCGCCGCCGCGCCGCGCCAGGTGCGCCACGCTGCCGCTTCCCGCCGGCCGGCGCCCGACGCATGTCCGGGTGCCGCGGCGCCTTTGCCAGCCGCCGGCCCCTGGCTTGCGCAGCGCACGCTGCCCTGCCCTGCCTGCCGCTGATTCTGCCCTGCCCACGTGCCCTGCCCTGCCCACGTGCCCTGCCCGCGTGCCCTGCTGCGGTCCCCTGCCTGCCCCCCTGCAGGCAACTTTGCGCCCAGGACCGACGCCAAGGCTGTGTGGCACATGCTCACCTCTTCCTACATCAACGTCATGCTCATCTGCCTGCCCATCGGACTGTGGGCGGGCATCACAGAGGCCAACCCCACACTGATCTTCACTATGGTGAGCGCCACCGCCCCACCGGACCGCCCGCCAGGGGAGGCCTGCGTGGGGGAGGCAGCGAAGCGCAGGCAGCGAGGCGCCCGCCGGCAACGGCCCGCGGCCCGCCGCCTGCGCCCCTCGACGCGGCGCCCGGGCCCCGCACGCCGCGCCCGCGGCCTCCCCTCTGCCAGCGCTCGCTCCCGCGCATGCGCTGCGCCCCCTGTGGCCGTGCCGCCGCCCATCTCAAAGTCCATATCAACCCCACACACAAACACCACACACACGAGACACACACACACACGCACACACACACACACACGCACATACACACGCACACGCATCTCACACCCCTCCCCCTCCACCCGCAGAACTTCCTGTCCCTCATCCCGCTGGCGCTGTTCCTGGGTGAGGTGACCGAGGACCTGGCGGTGAGGTTTGGGGACACCATCGGCGGCCTGCTCAACGCCACCTTTGGCAACGTGGTGGAGCTGTGAGTGGCTCGCCCCCCCTGCTGGCTGGCTGCCCCCTGGCCGCCCGCTCTGCCGGGTGCTCTTCCCACAGCCCTGAACCAGATGGTCTGTTGTCAGTGGCCTTTTGCCAGAGCCGGCCTGGCGGCGGCAGCGGCGTGCGCAGGCCAGGCAGCAGGCGTCGCAGGCCAGCAAGGACCCGGCTGGCGCCGCGGCTGCCGCCCACGCGCGCGCCGTGCCCGCTGCCCGCAGGATTCTGAGCATCGCGGCGCTGTCGCGCGGGCTGTACACAGTGGTGGCAACCTCCCTCATCGGGTCCATCCTCTCCAACCTGCTGCTGGTGCTAGGTGGGCCGCCGTCACCTGCCGCTGGCGCTGCTGTTGGCTGTTCCGTGGCAGCAGGCTGCGGCGGCGCGCCGCGTCTTGCGCCGCGCCCGCCGGCGCCGATCCCCGCCCTCGCTCCGACGTGCCAGCGCGCGGTGACACCCTCTCCCTCCTCGCCCTCCTCCTCCTCTCCCGCCCAGGCATGTGCTTCTTCTTTGGGGGCCTCAAGTACAAGGAGCAGCGCTTCTCCACGCTGGCCAACAAGGTCTCCTCCTGCCTCCTCTTCCTGGCCTGCATCGGCATCATCATCCCATCCACCGCCAAAATCATCTACGGCGGGGAGGTCATCACAAGTGGGCCACCATCCGCCCGCCTGCCGCTGCCACCGCCGCCCTGCCGCCCGCGGCTGCCGCTCACCCCGACGCAGCCGCGCAGGCGCGCAGCCGGGCGTGCTGCCTGCCACGGCCGGCGTGTGGGCCCGCCTGCCGAGCGCTGCCTTGCTCCCCGCCCTGCCTCGCCTGCTGCAGAGGATGTTCTGTTCAACCTCAGCCACGCCATCGCCATCGTCCTCATCTTTATGTGAGCATGCATGGGTGGTGCAGGGGGCGTGCGCAGGCTGAGGGGCACATTCCTGCCCCCCAAACCAACCCACCCCCTGCCTCCCTGCCTCACCTGTGCCTGCGCAGTTACTGCGGCTACCTGCTGTTCCAGCTGCGCACACACGCCGACTTCTTCTCGGTGAGCTTGCCGGCGGCTGGGGCGGGGGGCGGGCCGGGAGCTGCGTTGGGCCCCAGGGGGGGCGCAGCCTGGCCGTTAGACACTGTGGTGCGCCTCACGTGCTCTGCGCTGCCGACAGCGCAGCGGGAAGCCATGCCTCATGCCCGCCTGCCCGCCTGCCCGCCTTTCCTGGGCCGCAGGGGGAGGACAGCGACGAGGTGCCTGCGCTGAGCCTGAGCGGCGCCATGGCCTGCCTGCTGTCCATTACGGTCATTGTGGCCATCTGCTCAGGTGCGGGTGGGGTGTGGGGCCGGCCGGGGCAGGGTGCCACAGCCAGCCAGCCCGCTTTTTTGTTTGCTGCTGCATCTTCACGCGCCCGTCTGGCTGTGTGCGGCAGCGCCGACGGGCAGGGCCGCGCCAGTGGGTGGAGCAGCAGCACCGAGGCTCCCAGCCCTCTGCCTCCACACCATCCCCTCTCCACCTGCTGCCCCGCTGCAGAGTATCTTACGGGTGCCATTGAGGCTGTGAGCGAGAGCAGCGGCATCAACCAGGCCTTCCTGGGACTCATCGTGCTGCCCATCGCGGGCAACGCCGCAGAGCACATCACTGTGAGCACGCACCTGCCGTGGCCTAGCACCGCGGCGCCTGCTGCCGCTGCTAAAGTTGGCCGCTGCCGTGCAGCCCCCGGGCCCGGGTGCGGCAAGCTGCAGGCGCTGCTGTTGCACTCGGGCCCCCACCCGGCCTCCACTTGCGCAACATGCCGCATGCCGCATGCCACACGCGCGTTTGCGCCGCCCTCGCCGACGCACCTCTCCCGCTGCGGCGCCATCGTCCCGCAGGCGGTGTTTGTGGCTGTGAAGAACAAGATGGACCTGTCTATTGCGGTGGCCCTGGGCTCCTCCATCCAGATCGCCGTCTTCCTCATCCCCGTGGTGGTGCTGGCGGGGTGGGCCATGGGCCGCGACTTCACCCTCGACTTTGACGCGTTCGCGGTGCTCATGCTGACAGGTGGGGGCGGGTCCGGGGTGTGCGTGTGTGCGCGCGCGCGCGCGCGCGCTGCTGGCGTTGCCGCGTGCGGCGGGCGAGCGCGGTGCACGTCGGGTGTGGCTTGCGGCTGGCAGCACCGGCACCAGCGTCAGCCCTCGCCTGCCTGCTCGCACGCCAGGCGCTGCCAGGCTTGCCCTTCTGTTGGAGCAGCCCTTGTTCTGACCCCACCACCACCACCACCTCCCTCCCTCCTTCCCTCCCCTGTGTGTGCCACCAGTGTCTGTCATCCTGGCCTACTTTGTGTCGTCGGATGGCTCCTCAAATTGGCTGGTGCGTGCGTGCATGCGCCTGCAGCAGCACACTGGCGTCCCGACACCCACCCACTACCTCCTGGAGTGCCTGCTTCATGTGATGCCTGGTTTGCGGCCTGGCGCGCCTGCTCCCTGCCTCCTCCTCCTGCGCCCGTTTCTGTCTGACATGCCCCCCGCCGCTTGCTCCCCTCCCGCCCCATCCCTTCTTGCAGCTGGGCCTCCAGCTGGTGGCCACCTACTGCCTCATCGGCTTTGTGTTCCTGCTGGAAAGGGAGCCCACCCCCAGCAGCGGCAACGCCCCAGCGCCCGCGCCCATGCAACACTTGCTCTGACCGGGTGGCCCGCCTGCGTGTACCCCCGCGCATCGTCTTTCACCTCCCTGCGTAGCCCTGTTTTTGTTGTTGTTGGTTGCCGCTCTTTTGTCTCCGCCTATGCACATGCTCTCTGATTCGCCCTGCACATGCTGACCCGCCTCTCCCTCCTGACCACACCAGCCCCGTCTCGCTGCCTGCCGGCATCCCACGACACTGTGACCCTGTGGCAATGCGCACCCACACCGCTGTGTAATGTATGACGCCACACTCAATGAGATTACAGCAAGCGCACTGGCATCATCGGCATGGCCGGCCAGTTACTGCGCTTCCGCCTCCTGCTGCCGCTGCTGCTGCTGCTGCTGCCCGCGCTGCTGCTTGGCCTGCTCCAGCTGCTTCCGGAGCAGCGCAGCCTTGAGGCGCTCGCGCTTGCGTGCCTCGGCGGCCTGCCGCTGCTGCCGCGCCGCCGACGCTCGCTGCCGCTCCTCTGCCGCCTCGTCGATCACCTCGTTCAGTAACTGCAGCAGGGAGATCCAGGAGGCAGGGCAGTTCTGTGCCAGGTGCAACATATGCACGTGTGTGTAGTGATTGGCGAGCCAGCAGGTGATGCGGTGTGGAGACGCGGTAGGTAGGAGAGGCGCGACGTGCGGCGGCTGCCCTTCCCCCTGGCAGCGCACCTCCCGCCGCTCCGCGCGCCGCCGCTCCGCCTCCTCCTCCGCCGCCATCTCCGCCTCCTGCTCCGCCTCCCACGACCGCCGCTCCCGCTCCCGCGCCATGTCACCGCTCACCAGGCCGCCTGCAGGCAGGCAGCAGCGGTGGGCGAGCAACCCATACCTTTGCGGCAGAATGCGTGATGGGCGCTCAGCGCTCACACCGTCTCTCCAGCACGGCAACACAGGTTTCATGCTCGCAAGCCCAGACCATCAGGGAGCTGGGCTGCCAGCTCCGCGCTTCCTCCCCACCTGTCTGCGTGTGCACCGCCAGCCCTGTTGTGTCCAGCTCCGGCTGCCGCCAGGCGCCGCCCCCGGTCCCCTTCATCAGGAAGTCGACTTCGTACTTGTCGTCTGCATATACCCACAGGCGGGGAGACGAGCAGGCAGCAGGGCAGGTAGGAGGGCACGCCGCGCATTGAGCTGATGCCGATGCATGCACGGGTGGGGTCCGCGTGGCGAGCTGGCCAGCCCCTGTCGCCATGCAGCCCGCCGCCAGGCCGCCCTCATCGGCGCCTCACCCTCATCGTCCACCTCGCCACGTGCCAGCCTGTCGTACAGCGCTGCTTTCTTCTCCAGCGCAGCCCGGGACTCGCTGAGCCGGTCGGTGGTGGTCTGCACGGGGCGGGGCGGGGTGGGTGGGCAGCAGGAATACGACCAGTGGAAAAGGCAGCAGTTAGTGCCGGCTGTCGTGATGGTCGAATCTGCCCGGTGGCTGCCCGCCAGGCTGCCCTCGCATGCTTGCTGCCCAGCGTGCCTTGAGCGCCAGCCTGTCCCGCTGGTCTCGGTCCCCCACCCCCGCATTCTTGCGCTCCAGCAGCGTCGCCATGCTGCCCTTGCGCCTGCGGGGCGGAGCGGCGGGGAGGCACGGCGTGGGCCGGGCGGCAAACGCACCGGATCCTGCTGCCCACCTGCCGCGACCGCAGCACAACATGGAAGCCGTCCCCAACACACCATCCACACACACACACATACACACACACAGCTGCGCCCCCCACCTGGCCCGCAGCTCCTCAGCATCCAGCTTGCCCTCCCGCACCAGCGACGCCTCCTGCTGCGCCTTGGCCACCTGCGCCTGCAGCGCCATCAGGCTGGCGGCGCCCACGCCTGCAGAGCGCAGGGGGGGAGGCCGGCAGCGACGCACGGATGTGGTGATGGCAAGGAAAACGGTGCAGCTGCTCAAACTGCAGGGCAGCAGCAGAGGAGGCAACCGCCGGCCGAGCTTGGCTGCCGGCCGGCGAGACACTCGCGCACCTTCAATCTCCCGCCGCTTCCTGGGCTGCACTCCGCTGGACGCCAGCCAGCCCAGGCTCTCCACGGAGCGCGCCAGAGGCTTCTTGCCCTCCTCCGCCGCCATCCTGCCTGGCGTGGTCGGCAGCGGCGGCGGCAGGCCGAGTCCGGAGCAACGTCGGTGGCGGCGGTCAGTGCCACACGCGTCGGCAGCCGGCGGCGGCCTGCCTCTGCACCCCCAGGCCTTGCTTCAGCGACCCAGGCCGACGAGGCAGGGCCAGGCGGCTGTGAGCTGTATTGACGAGTGGCGGGAGAGATCCAGCATCAAGCGGACTGTCCTATGGATGGATGATGGGCAATAGACACCCTGGGGCATGCGAGCTAAGCTTGTCTGGTGCGGCCACATCACCGTGAGCTGGCACATTATTCATTAACAATTGCGCCTCTCCCCTGATCCCCCTTGTTGCGCATTGCAATGTGTGGGTCTTGGTTGATCTATTGAGCAATAGGGGGAGCAGCAAATGCCGTCTCTCGGGCCAGGACGCAGCGCACCACTCCTGTGGGCAGCCCTGGCAGCCCAGAGCCCTGGCAGCAGGAGAACAAACACGATGTCGGGCGGCTGCCAGGCGGTGGTGTCTGCTGGATGCAGCGGCGTGGCTGCCGCCGGTGCACCTGCCGCCGCCCACAGCGACAGCGGCCCCACCAGAAAACCTGCCGCCCTGATCTGGTTTAGGAACGACCTCCGCCTGGCAGACCACGAGCCCCTGCACAGCGCGGCAGCGGACCTGCAGCACTGCTTGAGTCAGGGGCAGTCGCCCCTTCTCCTCCCCTTCTACTGCCTTGATGAGCGGGAGCTGGCCCCCCGGGCTGGGGAGCTGCCGCAGGAGGGCGGCCTGGACATCCCGCAGCTGGGGCCGCACCGCCTGAGGTGAGGTGGGCCTCACCGCCAGCTATTAATTTTGGGTGCTAGTCACTCCCTCGCGCGCGCCGTGCCGCACAGGCGTGTCGCGCGCTGTCAATGCAGCCCGCCCGCCTGCTGTGCAGGCTGCTCCTGGAAGCCTGTGCCAGCCTGCGGGCCGCCCTGCGGCGGCTGGGCAGCGACCTGCTGGCGGCGCAGGGCCGGCCCGAGGCGCTGGTGGGGCGGCTGGTGGCGCTGGCCGCCGCCGCCGGCAGCAGCAGCATGGCGCTGCACCATCACATGTCCCCCGACGCCGCCTCTGCGGACCTGGAGGATGCAGTGGCCGCAGCCTTTGAGGCGGCGGCTGCACGGCACGGTGCGGCCCAGCTGCGGTCCAGCTGCTGCGACGCCCTCCACGTTTGCCTCCTGTCTGCCTGCCTGCCCTCCATGATACCCTGTCGCCCTTGTGTGCATCCATGGTCCCGCGCTCATGGAGCGCCTGCCTCCCTGCTGCGCCCCCACAGGGCTTCCCTGCAGCGTGCACCGCTACTGGGGCTGCACCCTATACCATCCAGACGACCTGCCTTTCCACCTGTGGGCCTGTGGTTCTGCCAGCAGTGGTGGCAGGCCTGGTGCAGCAGCAGTGGCAGGACCGGCAGCCGAGCAGCAGCAGCAGCAGCGGGGGCAGTGCAGCCGGGTGAACCGTGAGCAGCAGCGCTTTGCCTGCCTGCCAGCTGTCATGACAGATTTTCGCAAGGCTGTGCAGGCACATGCTCGAGTGCGGCCTCCACTGCCGGCCCCACGACTGGCCAGCAACAGTGGCGGCGGCGGCGATGGCAGCGCTCCAACCCTGCCGCCGCTGCCTGCTGCCACTGCAGCCGCAGCGGCCGAGGCGGGGCTGCTGGGCCCGCTGCCCACAGACCTCGCCTCTGTCTATTCCGCAGCTGGTGGCGCGGCGACAGCGGCGCTAGCTTGCTGGGAGGCGCTCGGCGCGGTGCGCTGCGCTGCGCTGGCGCCGGCGTGCAGCGGCCGCCACGACGCCAGGTCAGCGCTGCCGTTCGGCATGGGAGAGGAGCAGGCGGTGCAGCGGCTGCGGTACTATTTGGGCCTGGAGGAAAGCGATGGGCACAGCGTGCGCAGCGTGGACCAGGAGGCGCCCATCGCAACATACCGGGAGACCCGCATGCAGGTGGGCAGGCAGTTGTTGCTGTTCTGTGCCGCTCGAGCGAGCTGGTGCAGTCACAATGGCAAAGTCCTGGTTGCATGGACGTGTGGCTGGGCGGGTGTGCATGCTAGGACCAGCTTGGCAGCATGCCCGGCGCTTGGGTGCCTTGCCACCAACCAGCCACCCACCACCCACCCACACTGACACCAAGCATGCCACACCCTGCAGCCGTTTGGCGTGGACAGTAGCGCCAAGCTCTCCGCCTTCCTGTCCCTGGGCTGCCTCTCCCCGCGCACGGCACATGCAGAGGTGGCACGCCTGGCAGTGCTGGAGCAGCAGCAGCAGCAGCAGCAGCGGCGGCGGAGGGGACAGGCATCCAGCGGCGACGCAGCCGCGACCGCAGCTGTGGCAGCTGCAGCCGGTGAGGCGGCGGCGGCGTGGCGGGAGCCGCAGGCGGGCGACACCTGGCGCTGGCTGCTCATGCACCTGGCCATTCGGGACTTCTTTGTGTTCACTGCTGTCAAGGAGGGAGATGGTGGGGCTGGGCTGCTGTCATTCTGGGGCAGACCGGCAGCAGCAGGGCGTCTGGGTGGCTGCTCGCCTTCTGGGCCCGCCTGCTTGCTGCTAGCGGGGGCTTGCATCGGCTGCCCTGACGGTGGCGCCAACATGTGCTGCCTGCCTCCTGCCTGCAGCTCTGGAGGCGCCGGGCGGCATCAGGGGCAGGGCGGTGGAGTGGCGGCGGGACGACGAACTGTTCCGCCGCTGGGCCCAGGGCCAGGTGGGCACCGGGCGGGGCTGTGCTGGGGCCTGACTCATTCGCTCTGCTTCCAACCCCGAGGAACTCTCAGAGCAGGCTGGGCTGTGTGCAGCACAGCAGTGTGTCCCCCCACACACGCCGCCTCCCCTTCATGCATGCCCCGCCACCCACCGCAGACGGGCCTGCCATTTGTGGATGCGTGCATGCGCGAGCTGGGCGCCACGGGCTTCATGAGCAACAGGGGGCGCCAAAACGTGGCCTCCCTGCTGGCCAAGGCAAGCCCGCGCAGCCTGGGGCTGGGCAGCCTGGCTGCCGCCTCTCCCGGCAGCGAGCTGCCTGGGTGTTGCTCCCTGTCTGGGATGTGACTGGCAGGCGGCGCCTCGCCTCCAAATCTGCCCTGAGGTCGAGCCTGCCTGCCTGCCTGCCTCCCTATGCAGGAGCTGTGCCTGGACTGGCGGCTAGGGCTGCGCTACTTTGAGAGCTGCCTGGCAGATCATGAGTGGGCGCTGAACGCCGGCAACTGGGCCTACTGCGCGGGTGAGTGCGGCAGCGCGCGGGCGCGGGGCGTGCCTGCTGCGCGGCGTGCGGCGGGCAGCCAGGTGGTGGGCGCCCTCGCTGCCACGCGCTGGGGGGGTTGCTGTTAGCTGCTATGCCGCTCCTCCCGCAGGCACCGGCAGCGACCCCCGCGACCGGCGCTTCAAGACTGTGAGCCAGGGGGAGCGGTACGATCCCGAGGCCCGCCTCATCCAGGCCTGGGTGCCGCAGCTGGCAGCCCTGCGCCCCGCGCAGCTGGCGCACCAGCCCTGGGCGGCGCCGCCAGCGGCGCTGGCAGCGGCGGGGGTGCGGCTGGGCTGCGAGCCACAGGCTGCGACAGCGGAGGCAGGAACGGAGCGGCAGGAGCAGCAGAAGCAGCAGCAGCTTGGCGGGTGGTACCCGCTGCCAGTTGTCGATCCTGCCAGCCAGATAGGCAAGGGCCCCAAGCAGAAGCAGGCAGCCAGGCCCAGGGAGCAGCGGCAGCAGCAGCCGCAGCCGCAGAAGTAGCGCTCTGCATTTCCCACCGCGTCGCCCCTGATGCCTTCTTGCCAAAGCGGCTAGTAGAGTTACAGGAGAGAGAGAGCATCATGAGCATCATGAACGGGCGGGAGGTCAGAGGAATGCAGCAAGAGGAACAGCGACAGGGGGCCAGCCAAAGAGATGGGTGCACCATGGCAGGCCTTCACCAGGAAGGGCAGCAGCGGCAGCGACAGGCAGGCGGGGGGTCAAATCGGGGCGGCGAGCACCCAGCTAGCAGGACAGGGTTAAGGAATGGGCTCAAGGGATGATGACGCCGTGCGCGTTGCGGCGCGGCTGGCCGGTGGCGCGAGTTGGGCCGCTGGTGGGCGCGCCGGACAGCGTGTCAAAGCGTGCCGCCAGGCTGGCTCCATGCGGTGCCTCCAGCTGCATGGGGGCGCGACCGCCGCCGCGAGGCGCGCCGCTGCCGCCGCCGCCAAACGGCTTGCTCAGCACTCCGCTGGTGGGGAGGTGGGACGGGGCGCGGCCGCTGCGTGGGCAGGCGTGGGCAGGCGGGGCGGGAAGACGGCGATTACACACACACCGTGGCAGCATGACCCTGCCCCTCTTGCTGGCACACAAGGCAATGCTCACTCCAAACGCATTCCAGCTGCCCAAATCGCCATGCAATTGTTGTTGCTTGCAGTTGTTTTTGCAACGCGTGCCTGCAGCCGCTCACTGCGAGCAGCCCGGCGTGGCAGCAGCAGCCTGCGACCCGCAGCCAGCACCCACCTCAGCTTGTTGCCGATCGTGACCTTGACGTTGCGGTTGACGGCCTGCGCGCTGCCACCCTGTTGCCGCGAGCCGTAAAACTTGGGCGCGGGGCCGTGCTTGGCCACGCCGCCGCCACGAGTGCCCTTCAGGCCCGCCTTGGGGCTGGGGCGTGGCACGTGCTTGGGCCGAGGCACCACTAGCACCCGGCCGTTGCCCTTGGTTTGGATCTGGCGGGTGAGCGGGGCAGAAGGAGAGGGGATGCCGAATGAGCAGGGAGGGGCGTGGGAGGCGGTGCCCGCACGCCGCCGCTGCCGCCGCTGATGCTGCTGCCGCCATGATCGCGCAGACTCACCGTCTTCTTCTTGGCTCCGCCTGCCGGCCGGCTGCCCTGCTTCTTCTTCTGCTCCGCAATGAGCTCGTCCAGGCTCATTCCAAGCTTCTTCTCCACCACCTCCGCTTCGTTGACCATGGCTGCTCGCTGGGGCCCGGCGAGGGTAGGTGAGAGGGTGCAGGCCACGAGGGAAGGCTGGCGAACGAGCAAGGGGCGTCAGGGAGGTGGCCAGGAGATCGTCGACCGAGTGAGAGGGCGCAGCCTGGCAGCGCAGTGCAGACAGGGCAGGGCTTGCAGAATTGACGGCAGGCGAAAGAAGAGCTTTCGAAGGGCGAGGACAGCGTGGCGCGGGCGCGAGGATGTCGGGGCACCTTGTTTGTCCCTCCCTGTTGTAATTACCTGTATAGCTGCCGATCGAGATGGACTCGCTACCACTGCCTGCTGCCGAACTCATCGCTCTGTTTATCCCGGACGAGCGCGACCTGGCCGCGCTAGCCTGCACCAACAAAGCGTGGCGGGATGTGCTTTGCCCCGAGAATGCAGCGCTGTGGACCGCGCTCGTGCAAGAGCGGTTCGGCCGGACGGCGGCCACCGACCCGCCTGCCGCACTGAGCCCGGCGCAGCGCTGGCGCTCGCTGGCCTCTCTCAAGCAGCCCGTAGCGCGGCTGGACAAGATCATCTGGCTCGACGGCAACTATCTGTCTGTAAGTATCATGCAAGTGCCGCTGTGAAGCCACAGGTTCTCAGTCTTACAGCACTGCTGCCTGCTGCACCCGGACAGAAGGAGCACGATGCAGCCAGCACCTTTGGCGCCACCATCAGAGTGCGTCACGTGTGTTGGCTGGAGCTGGGCGGGCGGCTGCATGGCGTGCTCCCCGGACGCCACCGCGTCGCCTGGCGGCTGAGGCTGGAGGTGGGTTGGGCGCCTGACAAGCGCCCTGGCAACCTACGTGACATATACATGTATGTTGCTCCTCAGTGGAGGGTGGAGCCATGCCATCTGGAAACGTCGGCCTTCCAGCTATGGAGTCACCTGTGCCTGCACCTGTCCCGTGCAGGACAACGCCCGGCTGGCCCAAGCCTCCCTCATCGCCCGCCAAGAGCCCACCGCCAGCGGTGGCGAGCAGCAGGGCGGGCAGCAGCAACACGGGGCCGTCAGCTCCTCCGTGGTAGCCTGGAACAGCCTGGCCGCACTCTCGGCGCAGGCGAGCAAACTGCGACGTCCCGCATCAGCTGCATGGCCACTCATGCTGCAGCCGGCCCACAGCCTGCTGTCCTGTTGACTGGGAGCCTCTCCCGACCCTGCTGCAGGCAGGCGGCGGCTGGTTTGAGGTGCTGGGCGAGCCTTTCGATGTGCCCCAGCCCTGCACCCTGCACATCGGCTTTGAGAGCCTGTCCAATGTCTGGAAGCACGGCATAGTGTTTGACTGCGTCAGGCTGGTCCGCCAGCCGCCCCCGGCAGCCCCCGCGCAGCAGCAGCAGTCGGGGCAGCAGCAGGGCACCGGCCTGCTGCGCTGGCTGTTCTGGCGCGCGGCCGGCTGACGCGCCGGCGGGAGGCCTGCTGGGGCACTGCCCAGAACGGCGGCCCGCCACCGAATGATGCCGCGCTGTCCCTTGCCACCAGCCCTTTGAGCGCTTCTCTTGCATGAGCAATGCATTTGCGCAGCCGCATGTCAAGGCTGGCAAGCAGGGCATGGTGGCATGGAACTGAAGTGAGGCAATTGCCGCACAGCACATCGGTGGGCCACAACGTGACGAGCCTGTCTGGCAGCTCTCTCTCGGGCGCCGGGCCAGGGTCCAGCAGGCCCACAGCATGCCGCCACCAGATCGGGTGCGGTACCGATGGCAGTACAGTACTGTCAGGTGCCGTACCGATGGCGGTACATGGGGGCCGCGATGTTCTTGTACACCTCAGACCAGGGCCGCTCCACCTGGCAGGCAGGCAGGCAGGCGGCGCTGTCAGCAAGGCAGGAGGCACGACGGCAAGAGCAGGTGGCGCGCCACACGCGAGCCAAGCGACAACCGCCTGCCGGCTCTACCCGCCCTGCCCGCCCCCGCCCTGCTCACCACCAGCAGCGCGTCTGGGCCCATGTAGTCCGCATGCAGCACCGGGTCTGAGCAGTATATCATGCGGCAGTTGGCGCCGGGCGGCTCGGTGGCCAGCGTCGGCCTGCTGCGCCGCCGCTTGCGGCCGCCGCCGCCCTCTCCCTCCGCCTCCAGCGGCGCCGCCATGTCCAGGTGGCAGCAGGCCTCGGAGGAGGCCAGAAAGAGGGAGGCGGGGGCTGCGGGGCGGGAGGCGATGGAGGCGATGGCACCCGGCATGCGCAGCAGCTTGTGGGGCAGGGCGCCGGCGTGGCGGGCCGCCCACTCGGCGGCCTGCCCGCTGTGCACGCTGTAGGCGGCCAGCTGGTGCTGCGCCGCCGCCGCCACCAGCGTGGCGCTGTCGGCGGTGAAGGCCAGCGCGGTGATGGGCGGCTGCGGCTCCGCCAGCGGCACCAGCGAGTGCGCCAGCTTGTGGGACGACAGGCTGACCAGATGCACGCGCTGGCGCACCACCGCCGCCAGCCAGCTGCGGGGCAGGGAGAGAGGCAGAGGCGTCGGCAGAAAATCAGTTCAGCTGATCGGCACGCCAGCAAGGCGGAGCCAATTAGCCTCATCCCCAGTTCCAGCGGCCCTGAAGGAGTGCGCCACACCCACACCCACAGACAGAGTCCATTCCAGCCAGCGCTGGGCCCCCACCTGCCGTCGGGGCTGACCGCCAGCAGCTCCACCAGCGGCATCAGGCGCCTGGCCGCGCTGCGCTGCCGGTCGCGGCGCAGCGAGGACTTGTACTGCAGGTCGTGCACGACGCGCAGCGCCTGTACCGCCTCTTCCCCCTCCCCGCCGCCGCCGCCGCCGCCGCCGCCCACGCCGTTGGCCATCCCCACTGCCACCCGCTGCCGGTGCTGGCAGGCCGCCAGGCTGATCAGGCGCAGCGTGCCGTCGGCTGAGCACGCCAGCAGCTCATCGGTCCCCGGACGGAAGGCCAGGTGGCAGGCGGGCGGCAGGTCTGGCGGCAGCGGCAGCTGCGTGGGTACCACATGGTCCTCCGGTACGGCCTCATCCGCCTCCCTCTGCTCCAGAGCGAAGCAGCTGACGCGGTGGGCATCCGAGTAGGCCAGCCAGCGTCCGTCGCGCGAGATGCACGCCGCGCTGACGTGGCGCCCGCTGGCGCCCGACACGCGCAGCAGGTGCTCGGGCGGCGCCGAGGGCGACAGCAGGCCGCCCTCGGCGGGGGGGCCCGCCTGCGCGGGCGCCGCAGACCCCGGCAGCTGCCACACATCCACCTCATGCCGCTGCGCGCACAGCAGCCACACCGGCGGCGGCTCGTCGTCGTCGCCGTCGCCGGGCGGCAGCGCCGGGTGGGCCACTTGCAGCACGGGGCGCTGCGGGCAGGCATTCATGCGGACCGGGTGCTCCTGCGGGGACGGGGTGGTACAGTAGGGTCGTCAGCCAGTGGAGCAGCACAGGCAGCGTACCAGCCGGACGGGCTGGAGTGGTGGCCAGCAACGGTCGGAGCAGGCTGCCGGGGCGCAGATGCAGACACGCGCAAAGCGGTGGCTGGAGCCTCCCCGGCCAGCACCCCCTGATTGAATTCTTTTGTCTCTCCCTAAACCGCCCCCCCGACCCTGTGAGGCAGCCCACTCACCTTTTGGAAGGCCGCCACCGAGTGGCTGAACAGCTGCGTGTCGTTGCTGCCGGTGAGCAGGCGGGCGCCGTCAGGCAGCGCGCGGCCCGCCGCCACGCACATCGCCCGCACGTCGTGCGAGTGGGGGCGCTTGCTAGACAGGTAAGCCCAGGGGTGCTGCTGGCTGGTGGCGGTGCTGTCCAGGCGGTAGAAGAGCGAGACCTGGGGGTCCACGCCTGCAGACATGTGGGGGAGCAGGGAGGAAAGGGGAGGGGCAGGCAGAGGGACGGTGATGCCAGACGCACGGCAAGTCTCTGGCACGGGCTGGGCCAGGCAGCTGGGCAACCATCCCGGCAGCGTGGTGGCAGCACGGCTCCCAAGCAGGGCAGAATTTGTTGCATCGCGCCAGCGCTGGCAGCCACGGCGGCAGCGGCGGCGGCAGCAGGGGAGCGGCAGCAGGCAGCGGCGCCGGGCGCGGCGGGTCGGCGGCTCGCCTGTGGCAAACACCATGCGCCCGTCGGGCGAGGCCGCCAGCTGCAGCACGTCTGCCTGGTGCTGGGAGAAGCGCGCCAGCAGCGTGCCAAACCGGCCGTCCCAGAACTGCACGTTGCCGCTGCTGTCGCCGCTGCAGGCCGTGGCATGGGGCAGGCATGTGAGGCGGCAGCCGGCTGCAGCAGGCAGTGGGGCTGGCGCGACAGGTGCATGATGGGGCCAAGCCGCTTCTCGAGAGCCAGCCATAGCCAGCCAGCCAAGGGCCGCACCAGGCGGGGCCGCCCCACCTGACTATGGTGCCGTCTGGCAGCACCAGCAGCGCCCAGATGCACGCCTCGCGCCTGCTGGCGGCGCCGCTGCCGTCGCCGGCGGTGATGCGCAGCAGCTCCTGGCTGGCGGCCAGGCTCCACAGGTGGATGCAGCCGTCGGTGCCGGCGGTGGCCAGCACCTGGCCTGAGGGGTGCCAGGCCACCGCCAGCGTGCGGCCCTCTACCCGCGGCAGCGTCCGAGAGTAGGTCAGCCCAGGCACTCCCGCCTCCGCCAAAAAGATGCGGGCGCAGCCGTCGTCGCAGGCGGCCGCCACGCGCGCCCCCGCGTCTGCAGGACAGCGGGGGAGGTGGTGGTGGGGTGCGGCCGCGGCCTGGCACGCCTTGCGAGGCAGCGCGAGGCAGCGCGAGGCAGGGGCCCGCCGGCAGCGCGCCGCTCACCCGACTTTATGCAGGCTCCTGGCTCGGGCGCCAGCTGCCACACCGCGCCGCCCAGCGAGTCTGCCGCGGGCCCCGCCCGCCGCTGCTCCACATCCCACTCCACCAGCGCGCCATCCAGTCCGCTGCTAAACAGGCGGCTGGTGGTGCCGCCCTTGCTGTCCTCCTCATCCACCATGGCCAGGCACGTCAGGCAGCTGTCCTTGTGGCCCGGCAGGCGCTGCATGGAGCAGAGCAGGGCGCACGCGGCACGCGCAGCGTCGGCAGGAGAGCAGGCGGCAGCGGGCGGCCAGCCGGCGCTGGAGAGAGGCGGGTGTCAGGCACGCAGGCGCCGCACTGGCCCAACCCATCTGCGCCGTTTTCTGACCTGGAAGAGGTGGTTTGTGCTGGCCTCATACAGCTCTATGTCTCCGTCCTCCCTTGCTGCCGCCACCACGCTGCCGTCGCCGCTGGCCGCCAGCGCGACCACCCCCGCCGGCTGCCACTCGATGAACCGGCTCCTGTGCAGCGCCACCACGCCGGCGGATGCCTCCTCCATCGTGCGGGCCCGCTTGGAGCCCCGCTGCGCGGGCATTGGGGCCGGGGGCGTTGCTAGAGCCGCCTCAGGGGCGATGGCACGGTTGGCACGTAGCTTCGCCAGCCGACGCTCTGCTGAATGGATCTGGAGCAGGCGGTGATTTCAGCAGCAGCGCCCGCAGTGGGAAGGGCATGCCATGGGCTTCGTTCGCATGCAGGCTTCAAAGGGCAAAAGCAAGGCCCAGCGCGTAACAATCAATCAAATGCATGCATGCATGGTATCGCCCTGCATATGAGCCGGCCCATGCATGTACTGCGGGCCGCCGCCGCCGCCAGTGTATTGCCGATGGCATCCCGGGGAGTCGGGCAGCGTGGCAGAGATGACAGGGCACCGCAAGGCAGATGGCAGGTATCACCTGTCCAGTTTCAGACCTGAGCGGTCTGGCTGGCCAGCCATGCTGATCCAAGAAAGCTTCCATGCGAGGCAAGTCGAGGGGCAGCGGGTGGAAGGCTTGCCGCCGTGAAATGCAATTATGTACAAAGCATGCTCTGCATCCATACACGTCATGAAACTAGTTGCGCCTCACATGCATAAGGCGGCGGCATTCAGCAGCAGTGGGCTGCGGGTCATCATGCCATCATCCGTGGACCGCCGCCGCCAGTCATGCACAGCACAGAAATGTCGGGTGTCGCCTGCCAGTTTGCATTGCCCCGTCATTCGGCACAGGCTGCGCTTTCTGCAGTCTGCAGGCCGCTCCTCCGGTTGATTGCGCTGCTGCCAGAAACGTGTGCCTGCGTGTGAGCTCCCCACGCTCCGGCCATGCTGCAGCAGGCCGCGGCTGACGGGCAGCGACCATCGTCCCCCACAGGTGGGTCAATGCAGGCATGCTGCGCACGTTCCATCTGTTTTGCGGCTGGTCGACTTACCGCCCCTGCGCTGGCTTGCAGGCCTCGCAGCGGTCCAGGGAGTGATCAATGCGCTTGCCAGCAACCAGCGGCAGCTGCAGCACAACTTGGAGCAGGCGGCGGCACGCCTGCCGTTTGCGCACCTCGCGGGCGGCGGCTTGAGCAAGGTGGGTGACACACAGATGGCAGGTGTGCCGCCCGACTGATCTGAGGACATTGCCAGCCAGGAATGCAGAAGCACTGGAGCCCCAGGGGGCGGTCGCTGTGACGGTATGCCTTGTTGCCCCTGCCGGCCTGCCGGCGCAGGCGCTTCCCTCGTCGGCGCCTGCCCTGCTGGCTGCGGCTGCGGCAGGCCTGCACGGCGCGGCAACCGCGCAGCAGCAGCAGCAGCACGAGGCTGCGGTGCAAGAGTTGCAGCAGGCGCAGCAGCAGCAGCATGGCGGCATCCCTCTCTGGAAGCTGCTCCTGCCGTGCGGGGGCACGCAGGCAGCCTCCCCGGCCGCCCCGGCGGCGGCAGCAGCGGCAGCAACTGCAGCAGCCACAGAAGCGAGGAGGAAAGATGCGGGCGTGGTGTGCATCGAATACACCAAGGGCAAGCGGCGGGTGTACCGACAGGAAGGAGGCAGTGCCGGCGCCGCCACCGCCGCCGCCTCTGGAGCAGCAGCGGCAGGCGCCGAGGCAGCCGCAGGCGGGGAAGGAGCTGCCGGCGGCAACACCACGGCAGCAGCGGCAGCGGCAGCGGCAGCGGCGGCCTGCCGCGGCGGGTTTGAGATTGTGGACGACGCGGTGCGGCACCGACAGCGGCTGGGGGACCTCCTGGCCGACTACCTGCTACCGCAGGACTTTCCTCACTCGGTGGCCCCGCAGTACAGCGACTACATGCGGGCCAGGAGCGTGCAGTACTTCTTCGGAGGTGGGTGCGGGATACCCGGGATACCCAGGATACTCACAGGATACTCGGGCGTGGGGGCCGGTGCTGGGCTGCGGGGGCGGGGCTGGCTGGTGTTGGGCGGCGGCAGTGCGTGCAGGAGGGGACCGCCAGCGTGGTGCAAGCCTGCAGCCCGTTGCTGCTTCCCCGCCGCCCCCAATACTGATCAGCATCGGCCCGCCACACGTGCGCGCCCCCTCCCCCGCCACACGCCCTGCAGGCGCCATGAGCGTGTTCACCACCCGCAGCCTGCTGGCCTCGCTGGGTGTGGCCAACAAGCACAGCAGCGAGGCGGCGGCCGCCATCAACTGGGTAGTCAAGGACGGCGCGGGGCGGCTGGGCCGCTTCCTGTTTGCGCGCTGGTGAGGGCGCAGCGGGTGTGGGTGGCGGGGCTTGGGAGGTGGCAGTGGGAGGGAGAGCAGGAGGGCTTGGGTGCATGAGGCTGAGCCAGGTGTCGGGCAGGGAGCGGGCCGGCGCTGCAGGGCGCGGGCAGGGAGGCGCCGCCCTGGTGCTGGCTGCCGTGCACGCTGTGTGCTGAGGTGGCGCTGAGGTGGCGCTGAGCTGGCACTGATGCGGGCCCGCGCCGCTGCAGGGGGCGCGAGCTGGACTGCGAGCTGAAGCAGTTCAGGCTGATGGGGGATGTGCTCATGGAGACGGGGGCCGCGCTGGAGCTCAGGTGGGCGCTACGCAGCGCAGGGCAGGGCAGGGCAGGGCAGGGCAGGGTGGGCAGCACGCGGTGTGCAGCCGGCCGCGGCAGGCAGGGCGGCGCAGCGACGAGCAGCCGCTTGCATTGGGCTGCTCTTGGTGGGTTTCGACCCCGCGCCGCGCCCTGGCCCATCGCCCGCCGCCTCGCCCTCACCTCCCTGCCTCCCTGCCTCCCTGCCTCCCGCCTGCCCGCAGCACGGTTCTGATGCCGCGCATGTTCCTGCCGCTGGCCTGCACTGCCAACCTGGCCAAGAACCTGGCAGCGGTGACCGCCTCCTCCACCCGCGCCCCCATCTACCGCACCTTTGCCAAGCAGAACAACCTGGCGGATGTGACGGCCAAGGGTGGGTGCGGGGCAGTCCGCCTGAGGCTCAGGCAGCGCGGTTGGGGTGTGGGCGGTCCACCTGAGGCTCAGGCAGCACGGTTGGGGTGTGGAGTCGGCCTGGCTCCACCGCTCGCCAGGAGCCAGCCTTGCAGCCGCGTGCACGCCTGCTGCACTCCTCCCTTTCCCCGTCTCCCCCTGCCCCGCCCGTGCTGCCCGCGCTGCCCACCCGTGCTGCCCACCCATACTGCCGCCTGCCCTACCGCGCTGCTCCACCCGCGCTGCTGCCTGCCCTACCGCGCTACCCCACCATGCTGCTCACCCGTGCTCCCCCTGGCCCTGGCCCCACCCGTGCTCCCCCTGCCCCTGCCCCCACCCGTGCTCCCCCTGCCCCCACCTGTGCTGCCCCCCAGGCGAGAGCGTGGCCAACCTGGCTGATGTGGTGGGCACCGCCTTTGGCATCGCCCTGGCCAAGGCCAACCTGCCGGTGCTGCCCACCTTTGCCGCGCTGTCGGTGGGATACCTCATCGCCTCCAGGTGCGGGGCAGCGCGGCGGCGCCGGAGCGCGGGGCCGTGCCTGCCCAGGCCGGGGTGGGGCCGCAGGGTGGGCGGGAGGCGGCAGAGTGCGGCATACGCCCAAATGCACGCTGGCGTGCCAGTGATGCAAGGCCTTAACGGCAGCTGATGCTATGTGGCTCCCTGCCCTGCTGACTTGTGGCCTGTGCGTGTGCCTCACTGCCCCGCCCCGCCTGCCTGCCTGTGCCTGCAGGCGTGAGGTGGACTCTGTGGTGCTGCCATACCTGAACCGCGCGCGCCTCTCCTACACCACCCGCGCCTTCTACAGCACAGGTGTGCGGGCCGCTGGGGGGAGCAGCCAGCCTGCGTGTCCCCGGCTGCTGCCGCTGCCGCTGCCGCGCACGGCTGGCAGGCCTGCAGCCGCGTGCCGCTGGGGCTGCGCGTTTCGCTTTTCGCTGCCACCTGCTTGGCCCTCCGTGCCTGCCGGCGTTGCTCCTCGAGCGCTGTGCTTGCTTCCCGGCCGGTGTCACCTGGTGCATGCAGGCAGGGTGCCCGAGACTCTGGAGGGGAATTACCGGGAGCCGCTAATGCCGTGGAGCGACCCACACAACGGGCGGGTGGTGCTGGGGGCGACGGTGGAGGAGGCGTGCGCGGGGCCGCAGCAGCTGCACGACGCGCTGGCGGCGTTCTCGGGTGCGGCGCGGCGGCGCGCTCTTGCTGCTGGGCTGCTGCATGCCGACCGAATGCACCACCGTTGCGCGGCGGCGGCGAGTCCCCTCAGTGCCCTGCTGCATTTGGCCTGCTGCCTGGCCCTCCCCTCCCTGGCCTGGCTGCCTTCTACCTCGTCGTCACCGCATCTCACTCTCAACTGGGCCTTCCGCTGCGGTACGCTGTGGTGCAGGTAGGCAGTACGCTCTGACGTACCGCCCCGACACCCGCAAGTGCTATGCGCTGCTTAAGCAGGGCGCCAGCCCGCGGTCGGTGCAGCAGGCCGCCATGGATGCCCACGCCCTGCTGTGGATGCTGGACCAGCAGGTGGCGGCAGCCAAGCAGCGGCAGCAGACGGCGGCAGCTGCGGTGGAGCCGGACAGCCGCCACGGCGCGTTCAGCGGTACCAGCAGCAGCAGCAGCGGCAGCAGCGGCAGCAGCGGTGGTGGGGCGATCAGCATGGGTGGCAGCTCAGAGGTGGGCCGTCTGCACCGCGCGGCGCTGGAGCTGGGAGGGCCGGGCAGCAGGCAGGAGGCGGCCGGCGGGGCGGCGGCGCAGGAGGCGGTACGATATGTGGCGAGCGCCGGCCGCGAGCTGCACCAGCAGTTTGAGAAGCAGGCAGAGGCGGGCGGCTGGCGCATGCACATGACGATGCTGAATCCCAAGGAGACGCGGCTGGCTGTCAGCTAGGCACGCACTGCATCCGGTGCCACGCTTTCAGCCAGGACGGCTGTGCTGGGCCAGCAAGCCGTCGTTGCACCCATCCATCTTTCCAGCTCAGAGATGCAGACAGTTTAGGATGAGCGCATGATCTAGGCAGCTGAAACTGCACTGCACCTTGTTCCCTTCATTGAGAGCTCAACACCCACCATCACCCGATCTTTTGACGGGCTGGCCATTCCCCGCCCGACGTGTGTGAACCTGGCAAGGCATCTTGACTGCCGCCGAGCGCTGCTACTGGCAAGGGCCTCAGCAGTCCAAAGGCACACCGCCTGCGGGTGACCGCAAGTTGTCCCACCTGCAGGAAAAAGCTGGGCGGATGCGGTCCAGACCAGTGTTCCCGATGCGGCCGAGTGTCGCAGCGGCGGGCAGCGCAGCACGGCAGCCCATCATGGGCCTCTTGGCCCGCGCCCCGCGCTCCAATCCCAGCTGTACGGCGCGCCCTTGTATGTTCTACTGTGTAACTTAGCGGCGGCCAGGCAGCCCAGTATGGCGCTGCAGAACGGGCACCTGCTGGCCGCTCTCAAAAAGCTCGACGCCTTCCCCAAGCAGGTGAGGAGACGTGTATGCGCACACGAAACCATCGGGGAGCCTTGCCGCAGAGTGGTGGGCCACCCTGATCGGGGGGACGGGGACGGCGAGCAGGCAGCGCTGCACCTCCCTGCAACACCAGCCGTGTGGCCGAGAGGCAGCACGCGGAGCGCCGAGTCAGGATGGGAGGCGGCGCCCCGGGTGGAGGGCCGGCGGCGCCCTCTGCGCGGCCTGGGCCCCTCGCCCTCCAGGCGCTACCCCCCCCCCACGTCCCTGGGAGGCTGCCCCTCGTGCACCTGTCGACCCCCCCCCCCCCCCCCCCGC